AAAAAAATAAAAAAGTAAAAAATTTTAGAAAGGATTTAATTTTAAAAGAGTTCTTGCTAATTGACCAGTTTTACATATTCAGCACGACATTATAATATATATATATATATATATATATATATATATATTTTATATATATATATATATTTATATATATATATATATATATATATATATATATATTATGTAACATGTAATGGACTATTCCATAATTAGTATACCGTATAGTCTAACACCTTATTGGCTTCTTTTTTTAAGGTTGCTGCTCGATACAAGTGTTCGAGTTCCAAGGCAGCGGGGTGCAGCTAGACAGCCACTTGCTACATGCAAATGAGTTGTCATTTACGCCTCTGGACTTTCTGTCCTTCTGCGTGAGGCTGAGGTTCTACTTCCTGTGGGAGGTGTCTGGCTTCTTACAAGTCTCCGACAACTCGACGGGTCAAATGATGCACACCATACAGGCAGGTGAATGAAAAAAATATTGATTCAAGGTTGTTCTGCATGTGGTTAGAGCTTCCTGTGTCAATTGTGTGCTAAGGTATGTGTCTGAGATGTATACAATGGCATACGTGTCTGTCTTTGGTGTGTACAGTGATGTATGGTCCTGTGACGAGATGTAGAAGGCTACTCGTGGCTTAGTTTATAGCGCTCTCAGCACTGAGATGTCCGGGGATCGATCCCGGCACGGGTGAAACGTTGGACATGTTTCCTTACACCTGCTGCCCCTGTTCACCTAGCAGTAAGTAGGTGCCTGAGTGTTAGACGACTGGTGTGGGTCGCATCCTTGGAAACAAGGTTAACCTAACTTGCCCGAAATGCTCAACACGGGTTAGGTAAGATTCGTTAGGAAACACTTGTCTTTACCCGCCACTGGAGCTTTTGGTTATCTGACCGAGGCCTTTCCCTGGCTTACCAGCCCACCCCTGTAAAAATTAAGGTTAATTCAACTCTACATAACCAGAGGCTGTCTATATACTATGCCAGTGGTGTCAGCTAGATTTGTAACAGCTGTATCATGAACTTTTAGAAATAAAGATTATTATTGTTTGTAAGATTATCCTAGGTAATTTACACATATATTAAACTATGTATGATAATGGTACTTACGTGTACCTGTACTTAAATAAACTTACATACTATTATTATTGGGGACCCGCACATGTTATCGGCCGGGGCCGTGGGTAGTGATCATTTCATCATTTACTGCACCGGGAAAATCACTAGGGAACGGATAGGCCTACACAGGACAATAAAAATGAGGTCAACAAGAAACTACAGAAAAAGAAACACTGGTAAATACACTGGACAATTGTGACTGGACAGAGACAACAAGTTGCACAGACCTAAACGATGCCTGGGAAAAATTCAAAACAATGTTCACTACCATCCTTGGTAATATTGCTCCAGTTAAAGAGGTTAAGATTAAACGGAGAACTGAACCCTGGATGACTACTGAGATATTAGATAATATGAAATTCAGAGACCAGCTAAAACAATTTAAAGCAAACAGACAGGATATTGCAGCACTAAATGAATTCCAAAGGGTGAGAAAAGAGTACAGAGACTTATAAAAGGAGCAAAGGCAGGGCACTATTGCTCAAAAATCGAAGAGTACAAGAATAACCCCAGAAAGCTCTGGCAACAACTAAAACAGCTGGGATATAGCCATAAACCCGTAGATAGATCTAACATAGTACTAAATATCGATAAAGAAGTATGCCACGAAACAACTAAAGTGGAAAATTGTTTTAATTTCTACTATACATCTGTTGCATCAACACTAGTAAGTGAACTACCAGCTGCATCAAATACCTTTACCACAGACTCTGATAAGTTTCAAAAATATTATACCAATAAAAGGGTAACCCCAAACAGTTGTCAACTAGTAAGTGTATCTCATGACTTCGTACAAAAAGAACTAAACAGGTTAAACCCAACTAAGAACACCTGCCCAAGTTCCTAAAAGATGGCGCCTCTGAATTGCCAATCCCCATTGCTCACATAATAAATTTGTCCATCGCCACTAATACCGTACCAGAGGAGTTCAAGGTGGCCAGAGTTGCTCCTGTCTTCAAGAAAAATAGAAGGTCTGATGTCAGCAATTATAGGCCTGTTAGTATACTCAGTGTAATATCCGAATTTCTAGAGAGGGCGGTGTACTGCCAAGTAGTTAATTAAGTATCCTAATGACAACACTATTCTTCATAGTTACCAGTCAGACTTTAGGAGATCTTATTCAACCGACACCTCCATAATTAATCTGATGGATTACATGAGATCTGAAATGTCGAAAGGGAAATTCATAGGAATGGTAACCTTGGACTTGCAAAAGGCCTTCGATACTGTCAACCACAATATATTATGTAAGAAACTTCAAGCTATCGGCAATGGTTCCGTAGACTGGTTTAAGTCCTATCTTAACAACAAGAAACAAATTGTCAAAATTAACAAAACAGAATCAGAACCCCTGCCGATAGCATGTGGAGTTCCCCAACATAGTATTTTGGGCCCCTTATTATTCCTGTTACGTAAACGACATGCCCATCAGTGTCAAGTGCAAACTCCTACTGTGTGCAGATGACAGTGCTCTGTTAGTGTCAGGTAAAGATCCACAAGATATATCTAATGTATTAACACTAGAACTGGAGTCCTGCAGCAGATGGTTAGTAGACAACAAACTATCGTTACACCTCGGGAAAACGGAAGCCATACTCTTTGGCATGAAACATAAACTGAGAAGGGCAAATAATTCTAATATCCGCTGTAATGGGGAACTCATCACTTCAGTTTCCTCAGTAAAATACCTGGGAATCCCCTTTGACCCATGCATGTCAGGAGAACCGATAGGGAATAGTGTAGTAAAGAAAGCGAATGCCAGATTGAAGTTCCTCTACAAACAAGCACAGTGTCTACCTACTGAGACTCGCATGACCCTATGTCTAGCCCTTATGCAGTGTTATATGGACGACACTTGCTCTTCATGGTACTCTGCCTTGACAAAAAACCTGCAAGACTGCAAATCACCCAGAACAAAATGGTAAGATTCATCTTAGACCTGGGTCCAAGAGAACATGTAGGCCAGGATGAATTACAACAATTGGATATGCTGAATATTGAAGACAGGGTAAAACAACTGAAGTTAAAATCAAGTTTATAAAATTGCTTACAGTGTCCGGAATATCTTGTTGCCAATTTTGTCAAGGTTGGGAACCAAAGCAATCATAGTAGTACTAGGAGGAGAGAGCACAACTTTGTAGTACCCACAGTCTGTGGCCAGGCTTCAAACACCTTTTATTGTACAGCAACAAAAAAAATGAAACAGATTGCCTGCACATGTCAAAGCCAGTCATAGCATGAGCCAGTTCAAGAAGAGAGCCAAGAGGTGCCTAACGAATGTAGCGACAGAAATGGAGAATGATTTTTTTGTTTTTTTAGCTAACACTCGTGTAAATATAAATAACTCATTTTACCGTATTCCTAGAATATCTTCTTTATAGTATAATAACAAGATATTACCTCCTTTACAGTATAATAATAAGGTATTTTAAAAGGACCCCAATGGAAAGAAGTCACTGTCTTTTTTGGGTTGTCCTAGGCTCTCTCCACATATGCTAATATGTATGATAAATTATGTAACTGTATTTATGTACACCTGAATAAACTTGCTTACTTAAATATAATTCTCAGTCTTCCATGCACCAACAGCCAGCTTCTCTTGATGCTGTCTGCAAAGAAAACGTTAGCAATGGCACTTTTGTAGTACACGACTGAAATATTTTGATTTTGCACGGATTGGCATTAACTATATTACTAGATTGTCAGCTAATAAAATTATGGAAAATTTTATAGGGGGTTACCTGTATGTACCTCAACATTACATGCATACGAGTAATCTCATTAGGAGACAACAACCATATTGTTTACTGTAGTCACCCCGTGTAGACATGTGAGAAAACTTAACCACCCCTGGTCACTGCAAGTGGTTCCTTCGACCTCACAATCTTATCCATATCTATCCGAGACCAGTATAAATTGGATAGCACCCACAAGTACGGCGCTATTAATTAATTGTGGACTGTATAGATTATATTAGTTTAACTGAATGAAGGGGGGAAGGGTAGGTTACACATGGATATATCCATCAAGGAAAAACACTTGTACATAATCCCACCATTTTCCAGATATTCTCTGGTGGTCACTTGATGTAGCTGGATCACCCACAACCTATCCAATTACAACATACCTAACTGGCCAGTATCTGTCTCCTATAACTAGAAGGGTTACTTAACTGTGGGTGACTGATGCTCCTTATTTCCTCCATTCACCATCTCATTTTGATGTCCTGCTACACCGACACGGTTCTTATTCCAGCAGGACGAGGTATCCGTTGGTTTGTCCCGGTTTAGAAGTCGTGACTCCATATAAACTTCACTATCCTCGGGAAAGGAACCACGAGGTAAACAGATGCTCACTCTGAGAACGGCAACTCATTTCACTTCACACATTCTCTTAACTTGGTGTTATTATCACTGATTACTTCTTAGCCCACCATACGGTTTAATGTCTCATAATTATTATACACATTGGAGGCCACTCCATTAAGATGTGAGACCGATGAGTGATGATTAAATCATGGGTATTTTTCCCCGGAACACACTCCATGGCGATGCGCCAGTCACCCCCAGTCCTACCATTATTCACTAATTTTGCCACTTTATTACGGTGGTCCCGTAAATCATGTTCCCTCACTCTTCACCAGGAACAGTTACGACACTTCCTATTATGAAGTGAGGCCTATATTAATCCTTAGGCCACCGTGAATGCCAGTTTCCTGGTCCCATGTTTTCCCAGCCTCTTAACTCCATTCCAAACACTCTCGCTCCCTGATGCCCCGTTTCGACCTCTCCCTGCCCATCAGCGCAGGCGCAGAGCTTCCCTGTTGGTTCTAATCCATTTTCAAATACATTTTTGACCCATATCGACACATTAAACACCTATTAGGCACTATAGCTTTGGAAGATTAAAATATTTTCCACAAGTATAAAATCATCATTTAGAAATATATGCATGTACTACATTTCCGTGGCTGGAATAATGACACAGCTGAAGCAATATCTTTGTATGACCCTGTATTAATGCAATAGTAATTAAATTTTCATTTTTTATAGAAGTGAATTTGAATTATATTCGAGTCACACTGTCCAAGTTGCGTCGTTACCACTTTTTGAAGCAGCAACTGAGGGCACTCACCTGGCACCATGTCTGTGTTACCTATGGTGATGGTGTCACCATATCTTACTTGGATGGCCTGGAACAGGATCGTCGCCAGGGGTTTCTTGGAGAATCAGTCACTGGAACTCACATAAAAATTGGTTCCTGGGATGCTTACAACAGCTTCAGTGGTCAGCTCTCCCAAGTGAGTGCTCAGATGTACTTTAAACTTTCCTCATAAAGCACACTCCTAAACTAGTTTTGATGCAAAATTATAAAATTGGTATATTAAAAATTTGTATGACATTGCTTTATCTTGAGAAGGTGGGGGAAAAAAAGGACGTCAGAACAATTGGTCCAGTGATCTTATCTAGGATGATTAAATGTAACATCCCAATAATTTGGCATATAATATCAGGTGCTATAAGATTTCCTTTTATATATTCCAGGCCAATATATGGAGTCGAGTCCTGACAGCTGACGAAGTGGCTGCACTGGCTGACTGTACTATGGAAGAGGAAGGAGATATATTGCCTTGGAAGGGCCCTTGGACAGTTAATGGAGACATATCACCATCTCAAGTATCCTTAGATGATCTCTGTAAGGGAGCCTCAGGTACAGAGTACTTTGTCTTCAATGATTTTACAGCCCATTCTGCCTTCCAAGTGTGTCAAGGTCTCGGTGGATTTGTACCAACTCCTCAACTTCCTGAAGAATACAACACCATAATAAGAACTATAACTGAGCATCATACAAAAATAAGCAGTTTGTGTAAGTCCTTCTGGGTGGGAATCTCAGATGAAAAGGAAGAGGGAGTTTGGATAGATATCCAACATCAGTCACAACTTCACCCCTCGTGGTCCGTGGCTGAACCTGATGGGGACAAGCTTGAGAACTGTGCAATAGCAGAAGGTCCTCAACAGTTTGCTGATACACGTTGTGATGAGTTAAAGTGTGTAGTGTGTGCTGTTCCTCGACGTCCAGTGTGGAAACTTCTTGGTGCTTGTGAGAGGTACCAACGCAATGTGCATTTCGTGGCTCTTCAGGATAACTCAAGCAATCTAATTTTTCAAGGTTACTCTGATTTTCGAATAATACAGAATGAAGACAAAAGTGAGTGGGTGTGGAAGAATTGGCACACGGGTCAAACAATGGCTAGTTTATCCAATGCTGTAAATGATGTTCCAATTGGTCGTCAGACATGGACCCTGACGAAGGCTATGTGTAGCCAGACTGGTGGAAGTGCACGCCGCCTTTTGTTGACACCTTGTGGCACAGGATATTTCTCATGTGATGATGCCTCCTGCATCCCCCTCTACCAGCGATGTGACCTCAAATTTGATTGTCATGACAAGAGTGATGAAAGTGGATGTCACTTAGTGAAGTTTCCTCCGGTGTATCGTCCAGATTTACCTCCAGAAATTAATAACAACAACTTTTCACAGCCTCTTCCCATTGCTCTGTATATCAACATCGAAAGTGCTGACGTAGACACCTCCTCCATGCACATGCATGTCAACTTCAACGTTAGCATGACGTGGCAGGAGTCAAGGCTCAGCTTTCTTAACCTCAATGAAGACTATACGCTAAACAGGTGAATCACTAATTTTTTTACTCTCCTGTTACTTGACATTTTAAAGTTCTTAATACCTTTATCTTATTCCTGCTTTACCTATATAAACCACAATGGAAGAAGCAATGACAGACTTCCTCTACGCACAGGTATATTTGTGTATATACAATTACTAGTTCTCAACGTTCGTGCCCCCCCCCCCAAAACTT